TGTATGCATGTATTGCCTATATGTAGGTAAGTGCACCTGTGTCATACAGTGCCCACAGAGGTCAGAAGAGGCTGTCGGATCCCCTGGGACTGGAGTTACAGACAATTGTCAGCTGCCATGTGGGTGCTGGGATTCGAACCCAGGTCTTCTGCAAGAACAACCAGTGCGCCTAACCATTGAGCCATCTCTCCAGCCCACAGGATAATATCTTAACTCCATATCTTAACTCCGTGTTTATTGACCTGTGTCTCTTTCTTTTATCTTGGTTTATTGTGTGTGGAGGTCAGAGGACAACTTGTGGGAGTTTTCGCATGCCTGTCATGTGGGTCCCAGGTTTTCAACTCAGTTCATGAGGCTTGTTGATAAGTACCTTTACTTGCTAAACCATCTTGCCAGCCTCTTTGTTTCCTTTTCTGTTCTCTTCCTTTCTCTCAGCTCTCTCTCTCTCTCTCTCTCTCTCTCTCTCTCTCTCTCTCTCTCTCTGGTCTTTTTGAGACAGGGTCTTCTTGTAGCTTTAGTTAGCCTGGAACTTGCCATGTAGACCAGGCTGGCCTCGAACTCACAGAGATCTACCACCTCTGTCTACAGAGTGCTGGGATTAAAGGAATGGGCTATCATGCCCAGCTACCCACCCCCTTTTTAAATTTCAATTATGTTTATTTATTTGTACGCACACATATGCCATGGCTGGTTCCTGTGGGTCAAAAAACAGTTTGCTCAAGTCAGATCTTTCCTTCCACTATGTGTCTCCCAAGGATGAAACATCATCAGGCTCGGCAGCAAGCACATACTCACTGAGCCATCTTGCCGACCCCCTTTATGTTATTTGAGACATGAGACAGGGTCTCATGTAGCCCAAGCTGATCTTGAACTCCTGATCCTCCTGCCCCATCCCAAGTGCTGGGATGTACCACCACACCTAAGAGTCCAGTTTCTTTAAATGTTTATCAATATTGTTATTCTGTTGGTTTTTTAAAAAAATTATTTATTTATGTGTATTTTTTTTAATTAATTGTTTGGGGGGGCTAGAGAGATGGCTCAGTGGTAAGAGCACTGACTGCTCTTGCAGAGGACCTGGGTTCGATTCCTAGCACCCACATGGCAGTTAACAACTGTCTGAAACTCTGTTCCAGAGGATCCGATGCTTTCTTCTAACTTCTGTGAGCATTACGTGACATGAATTCACTTACATGCATGCAGGCAATACACAACAATTATTTTATATATTTTATTTTTTATTATTTTTATTTTATGTGTATGTGTGTATTGCCTGCATGCATGTTAGTGCACCTGTGACATACAGTGTCTTTGGAGGTCAGAAGAGGGCTTCAGATCCCTTGGAACTGGTGTTATGGATGGTTGTTAGCTGCCATGTAGGTGCTGGGAATTGAACCTGGGTCCTCTGCAGGAGCAGCCAGTGTTCCTAACTGCTGAGCCATCTCTCCAGCCTGCTGTGATTTTCTTTTTTTGTTTTGAGACAGGGTCTCCTTGTAACCTCACCTGGTCTGGAACTCATTATATAGACAAGGTTGGCTTTGAACTCAGAGAGATCTGCCTGCCTCTGCCTCCTGAGTGCTGCAACTAAAGGCATGTGCCTGGTGGTTTTTTTTCTTTTAATTTTATTTATTATTTTTATTTTCTGTGTATGCGTGTATTGCCTGCATGTAGGTAAGTGCGCCGTGTCATCATGTGGGTGCTGGGATTCAAACCCAGGTCTTCTGCAAGAACAACCAGTGTTCTTAACCACTGAGCCATCTCTCCAGCCCGATTTTTTTAAATATTTATTTTTATTTTATATACATTTGTGTGTATGCCACACGTGTACAGGTGCCCGTGGAGGCCAGAAGAGGGCAGCTGGAGTTATAAGTGATTGTGAGCTACCTGATGTAGGTGCTTGGGACTGAACTTGGGTCCTTTGGAAGAGCAGCAAGAGCTCTTAAACACTGAACCATCTCTCCAGCCCTTCTCACGGTGATTTTGAATGGAAACCCTTGAATGCACCTCAGGATCACCAGGGAATCTCACAAGATAGGGCCCTGAACCAGCAAATGGCTCAGAGAAAAGGTGCTTGATGCCAAGCCTGACCACCTGAGTTCATTTCTGGGAACCCACATGGTATAGGGAGAAAACCAATTTCTGCAAGGATGTCCTTTGACTCCCACATGTTCACTGTGGCACATGTGTCCACACACAAAATAAATAAGTAAATGAAATGTAAGAGAAATTTTAAAACAAACTGAAAAAAGGAGGAACTGGAGACATGGCTCAGCAGTTAAGAGCACTGGCTTATCTTGCAGAGGACCTGGATTCAGTTCCCAGCACCCATATGGTGCCTCACAACCACCTGTAACTGCAGCTCCAGGTGATATGATGCTCTCTTCTTGCCTCCGAAAGCAAGAGGGCAGAAGGTACCTGATGTCCATAAACTCACATAGGTTCACATACATACACATAAATGTCAGGCATGGTGGTGCACACCTTTAGTCCTAGCATTGAGAAGGCAGAAACATGCAGATCTCTGTGTATCTAAGGCCAGCCTGGTCTCCATATTGAGTTCCAGGGCAGCCAGGACTGCGTATTGAGACGCTGTATCAAAAAATACATGAAATAATATAATAAAATGATATTTTGCTTCCCTTAGAATGGCTTCTACTAGGAAGCCCAGCGGTTCTCCACATGGAATTTTTTCTTTCAGTGATATGTTCTTAGAAGATTTAAAAGTGGAAGAGATCAGAAACTTGCATGCCAAAAGTTTGCCAAAGATCTCAAGGGAAGACTCTGTCCCAGGGAGAGGACCGAGGTGGACTTCTTCGGGTAGGGGCCCCCCAACCTCCTCCAAGACCAGAGCCAATGCTGCCCTCATGAAGCTGGCCCAGATTGAAACCAAGATCCTGAGTCGGAGGAAAGTACCCATGACTTTGTCTGATACTGAGTCTGACTCAAAGACCACTGATGAGGGTCTTCTGAAGAGAACAGATGCAGTGGCTGCCCCCCTTTCTTCCCAACATTCACACAGAACTTTCCAGAAACAAGTATGTGAAACCCCAGTTGCAAAGAGTGATGGGCAAAATGGGAAAGCCAGCAGGTTTCTGAAGAAGAAAAAACTACCCATTGAAGACAGGTCCCTGAGGGCGCCTGATGAGACAGAGAAGAATCTTCAAGTGCCTGGACAGAAAGAACCTGCTGGAAAATTTGGTGCTCCCGACAGTGACAAAGAGGAAATGAAAAGGTCGCTAGGAAGCTGGATGGAATCTTCTACAGACAAAGATAGGTGTAGGAATCAGGAGCTCAGCAGCACCCAAGTCAGCAGATGTGACCATGGAAAACCATTCTTGGTGCGGTTATCATTTGTTGGTTTCAACTTATTTGAATATTTTTTGTGATTGTGGGGATGGAATGCAGGGTTTTGTGCATGCCATGCAAGTGCTCTACTGATGAGTTACACCTTGTGCCCCCACCCCTTGGTGTGTGTGTGTGTGTGTGTGTGTGTGTGTGTGTGTGTGTGTGTGTGAGTGACTTGTGTACAGGTACCCACAGAGGTCAGAAGACTGTGTCAGATCCTCTGGAGCTGGAGTTGCAGGTGGTTGTAAGTTGCCTGATGTGTGTGTCTTTTTTCTTGGTCTTTTTTTTCGGTCTTTTTGAGACAGGGTCTCCCTGTAGCTCCAGCTGGCCTGGAACTCACTATGTAGACCAGGCTTGTCTTTTTTCTTGGTCTTTTTTTTCGGTCTTTTTGAGACAGGGTCTCCCTGTAGCTCCAGCTGGCCTGGAACTCACTATGTAGACCAGGCTGGCCTCACGCTCACAGAGATCTACTTGTCTCTGCCTCCTGAGTGCTGGGATTAAAGGCGTGCTACCATGCCCAGCCATGTGTGACATTTCTACACATTACAGGTATGCCTGAATTAAATAGCCTGACTCTTAGCATTTGTAGTAAGACCAAGAGTGGACTGGAACTACAGAGCACCTGCTCCTTCAGATGTCAGCACTGAAGGCTGACACTCTCAGAACTATGCTCTCAATCCAGGCTTTACTCATTCTTTTATTAGGACAGTATCTCCAGCATGAATTGGAGAAGTAGAAGTAAGGACCCACCCTTATCAGAGAGAATCTTGCCTTTTGATCCCTAGGCCTAAAATGTCTCACACAACAGCAAACAGATTCGATTGGTAGGGAGGGCCCAGCCCTACTGTGGATGGTGCCACCCCTAAATGGGTGGTTCTGAGTTGTATAAGAAGTCTAGCCTGTCTATACAGTGAGCCAGTAAGCAGTGTCCCCCATTGTTTCTGCTTCAGTTCCTACCCTGACTCCCTTAGTGATTGACTGACCTGGAATTGTATGGTGGAGCAAACCCTTTCCTCCCCAGATTGCTTCTGGTCATGGTATTTATCACAACAGAAAGTAAACCAGGACAGGCTCTTAACTGCCAAGGCATCTCTCCAGCCATCTCTTGGTTGCTTTTTGCATGGATATGTGTCTGGTATGTGTGCATGTGAATGTGTGTTTCCCTGTGTGGGTACACATGTGTATGTAGGTGTACATGCAGGTGGAGGTCAAAAGTGCTCCACATATATATATATATAATATATATGAGAAGCTGGGTCTCTCAGTGAACCCAGAGCTCACTGGTCTGGCTAATCCAGCTAGCCAACTCATTTGGGGATTCTGTCTCCTCCTCCCTGCAGTGGGGTTACAGGAAGCTGCCACATTCAGCATTCACAAGGGTGCTGGAGATCTGAACTCTAGTCTTCAAGTTTTCACGGCAAGCACTCTACCCATCTCACCAACCCGAGAGTAAAGCTTTAATGTCTGACATCTGTCTCTTGCTACCTGCTAGTGGTACTGTTTATGGAATGGTCAGTTAGGATATAAGCTTAGTAATTTCATATCTTTTTACCAAAGTAGGATCAGACACTGACACAGCCAGCCCTGTGTCTGCTCAGTGCAGACCGGTCCAGCTCCAGGCCTTCTCTGCCATCACGCCTTCCAGTCTCACAGACAGCACAGGGAACTCTTCAGAGCATTGGTCACAGAACTCTTTTCCCACCTACTCACAATGCTGGGGACACGGCCTCCCTCACACCCTCGCCTTCCATCTCAGATGACTTTTCAAAATCTGCATTTTCAAGGATGGGGTGCATCCAGCTGGCGTCCTCCCTGAGCAGGAGCAAGGCAGGGGGGCCTTCCAAGGAGCTGGTTTCAGAAGCCTCCGATGACAGCCTCCATGGTAATCCAGATCTTTGGGCAAAGCCATCATCAGGGGGGGAGGGCAGGGCCACCTTCAGGGCCCCAGCCTGGTGGTCCTGGGCACTGCTGTAGCACTGGGCGAGTGACCCTGAGCCAGCCCACAGTGGTAGCATCCTAAGCATCGTAGTTGAACCGCTGATCTTTTGTCAGTCCTTCCTCTCACTGCTGTAAGTCCAGGCTTCCAGAGACGGTCTCTCACAGTCATTGAGATAGGATCTTGCTGTGTGACCCAGGCTGGCCTCAAAGTCTTCTGTCCTCCTCTCTCTACCTCAGGACTGATGGCCTGCATGTGCCACCAGTTCTGGCTCTGGGTCTGTTCTTTGTATGGAGTCAGGGTCAGCATGAGGAGGTCATATTCAAAAGCTGTGGGTGTGGTTAGTGCAGGTACACACTTCTGTCTTCCCAGTGCTGGGAAGGTGCGGGCCAGAAGGTCAGGGCTGCATGGTCATCCTCAGCCACATACAGAACTTGAGGCTGGCCTGGGCTATAGGTGACCTGTCTCAAAAACAGTCTACAAGCCAGGTGTAGAGGCAGAAGTAGGCAGATCTCGAGATTAGCCTGGTCTACCTGTTGAGTTCCAGGCCACCTGGGGCTATAGGGAAACCCTGTTTCACAAAAAAATTTAAAAAAAGAAAAAGAGAAAAAGCTCATAGACTGCTTTATTTATTTAGATAATTATTTAGTGGTCCTAGCGATTGAGCTCAGGACCCATGCATGCTAAACAAGTGTTCTCCACTGAGCTCCAGCCCGACTGGGTAATTAATAGAGAACAGGGTTTGCCTGGCTGAGGGTCTGGGATATAGGACTGTGTTGAGGGGTTTGCTTCATCTGTCCACAGTAGAAGAGGAAAGCAGGGTGGGAGAGGGCTATTGGAGCCTGGTGAGGTCTGCAGTGGATACACAGCTGAAGGCATTGACTCTCCCTCCCTAAGTCTAAGGAGATAGTTGAGCAGTAAGGGGTAGGGCCTGAGCCCCCCAGCCCTCCTCCATCCTAGCTACTGGTGGGCCCATTTTTAAAAACTGAGTTTTTGTTTTTTGGGTTTTTTTCTGTGTATGAGTGTATTGCCTGCATGTATATAAGTGCACCTGTATCATGCAGTGCCCAAGGAGGTCAGAAGAGGACATCAGATACCCTGGAACTGGAGTTACAGACAGTTGTTAGCCACCATGTGGGCACTGGGAACCAAACCCAGGTTGATGGGCCCATTCTGGCACAGACCCAGGGCAGGAAGCCACAATCCAACTGCCTCAGCCTCCTGAGTGCTGGGGATTACAGGTGTGTGCCTCTACGCCCTGTGTCAGGGCTCCTTCTGGTTGCTCAGCTGACAATGTTAACCCTCCTGGGTTTGGAGGCCTGATGACCTACTCTCTGTTTCAGGCCATCTCAGAACCGCTGCCTGGGTTTCCCATGTCTAACCTGTGCTGTCTAGGGATACCCTTCCCCATGGATGGGCATGAGATACCCCTTCAGAGCCCTTTCAGTGCCTGCTTCTGCTGGATGCTATGTAGCACGTCACAATGCTGGCTCTAATCATTTAGTGCCTCGCCCCCACTGTCTGCTGTTCTTCCCTCTAGACCCCTTTCAGCCCACACTCCTAAAGGCCAGACCCCTTTCCCTTCTGCAGACAGCAGGCCTGGGTTGGACATAGCCAAATCCAGGCCCCTGTGTCCTCATCCATTGGGGTCCTTGAACTTGAGGTATCAGCCAAGTGACCCGTGGCAAAGCATATCAACAGGTGCTGCCTCTCAGGACAAGTATGGGAGGGTCTCGAAGTGTTTGACCTTGAGCCACGCACATGCCCTTTATCCCGGGCCACCTAGTGTGATTCAGCCAGAGGTGCTGTCTCTAAAGCATAGTTGCATATAGATCTTGGACTGGGCACAGGTGACGGGGTTTGAAGGCTCTTAGAGATTGGCCAGCTGTTGCCTGGGCATGGAGCTATGGGACCAGGTGCAAGTCTAGTGTGGGGGATGCTGGGAATATACCCATGGCCCTGAACATGCAAGACATGCATTCTGCTGCTAAGCTGCATCTCTGGTCTGTATGTACATCTTCCAGTTTGTGGAGTAAATGATTTTTTTTTTAAGACAGGATCTCACAATATAGCCCTGGCTGGCCTGAACTCACTGGGTAGACCAGACTGGCCTTGAACTCACAGAGATCCACCTGCCTCTGTTTCCTGAGTGCTGGTATTAAAGGTGTGACATCACACCCAACCTTTTTTTTTTTTTTTCAGTGTGATTGGGGGCCATGAATCCCACAGTGCCCATGGGGTGATCAGAGGACTGAGGTTCCCTCCTTCAGGTCCTGGGGATTGAACAGCTCAGGTACTCAGGATTGGTGGGAAGTGCCTTCACCTAATAAGCCATCTCACCTACCTGTATTTATTTATTTATTTTATTTTTTTGGTTTTGTTTTTTTGAGACAGGGTCTCCCTGTGGCTCTAGCTGACCTGGAGCTCACTTTGTAGACTAGGTTGGCCTTAATCTCACAGAGATTCACTTCCTGAGTGCTGGGACTACAAGCGTGTGCCACCATACCCAGCTCCATGTTTACTTTTTTTTTTTTTCAAAAAACAATATTTTTAATGCAGAGGGAATCATTACAGAAATGTAAGCAATGAACATTGCCCTGGTTTGCTTTCTGTTGCTTGATAAACACCATGACCAAAAGCAGCTTGGGGGCATGTTTACTTTTTTAGTTACAGATTTCTTAGGCTGAAGAGATGGCTCAGCAGTTAAGGGCACTGGCTCCTCTTGCAGAGGACCTGGGTTCGAATCCCAGCACCTACATGGCAGCTCACAGCTGTCTGTAACTCCAGCTCCAGGGGATCCGATGCCCTTTTCTGACCTCCTCGGGCACTGTATGACACGGGTGCACTTACATACATGCAGACAATACACTCATACACATAAAATAAAAATAATAAAAATATTTTAATTACAGATTTCAGAGTTAATATTTTGTCCATTGATGATCTGGCTCCAGCTAAATGGGAGAAATCAAACATGGAACAGAAAGTAAGTATGATGGAGTCATTCTGTTCTATTGATTTACTAAGTGTTTTCTGTTACATGTACTCATTTACGTGTGTGTGAACGCTTGTACACTACAGCCTATATGTGGCGGTCAGACTTTCTTTCCACTGTGTAAGTCCTGGGGGCTGGATCACCACACTTGGGATGAGCAGGAAAGAGCCGACTCCTGCAAGTTGCCTTCTGACCTCCACATACCAGCTTTGTAAACAAGCCCCTAACCCCCCAGCACACAAAATCAATATATGTGATAAAAATTTTTAAAGAGGTGATCAGAGCAGCTTCTGGTTAATGCTGTTGTAGGAACAGCTGAGCAGTGGCTATTCCCAGCCATGACATCCCAGGGCCCAAGAAGGTTGCTGCCTGTCAGATGCATGTTTAGGTCACCGGGGCGCACTTTGAGCTCTCTACACCTAGTGCATAAGCGGCACTAGTGAGATGGAGGTCGAGGCAGCAGTTCTGGCCATCCTCATTACAGTTCACCCATTTCTTGTCTTGATACCTGACAGACCACCTGAAAGAAGCAGTCTAGGGAGGAAGGACTTATTCTGGCAGTTTGACAGTCACTCCATCAAGGTGGGGAAGTCACCACAGCAGAAGCGTGAGGCAGCTGGTGCGCTGCTCACTTTCTCCTTTGTATTTAGTCAGGACCCCATGGGATGATGCCACCACACCTCCCACCTTTGGGCACATGTAAGGGAGTTTCTCACATGTGCCCAAAGATTTGTTTCCATGGTTACCTTGGATCCCAACCAGATTAACTAGCATCCATACTCTAGTCAAGGCCAGTTTGGGCCTCTCTTGTGCCCAAAGGTTTGTTTCCATTGTTACCTTAGATCCCAACCAGATTAACTAGTATCCATATGCTAGTCAAGGTCAGTTTAGGATACATAATACTGTGCCTCAAACAACAAAAAGCAAGCTGTGCAGGCTCATACCTGCAATCCCAGTGGGAGTCTACAGCTGGGGGATTGCTGAAAGTCAAGGCCAGCTTAATGCACATAGTGAGTTCCAGGCTAGCCTGGGCTATAGAATGAGACCCTGCCTCAATCCTCCTCACCATGCAAAAAAAGGAAAGAAACCTTATATTAAAGTGTTTCCCTGGTTCTGGGTGTGCTACGTGTGCACAAGGATCCGAGTTCCATCCTCAGCTTCCTGCCTCCCCCAGACAGCATATAACCTCTCTTCTGGGACCCTGGGAGGTGCCTTTGCTCACACAGTGTATTGTAAAAAATGTGTTTGCTTTTAAAGTATGTGTGTGTGTCTGTGTATATGCACATGAGTGTAGGTGCCTGCAGAGGCCAGACGGTGTCAGGTCCCCTGGAGCTGGAGTTATAAGTGGTTGTGAGCTGCCCGACATGAGTTCTGGGACTCTAACCCAAGTCCTCTACAAGATCAGTAAATGCTCTTAACCACTGAGCCATCTCTCCAGCCTCATTTTTTGTTAGGGAATATTTCACAAACTTTTCTTGTTTTTCTTTTAAATATTTTATTATTTTTATTTTATGTGTATAAGTGTATTGCCTGTATGTATATAAGTGCACCCGTGTCATAGAATGCTGGAGGAGGTCAGAAGAGAGTGTTGGATCCCCTGGAACTGGAGTTGCAGACAGTTGTTAGCCGACATGTGGGTGCTGGGAACCGAACCCGGGTCCTCTGCAGGAGCAGCCAGTGCCCTTAACTGCTGAGCCATCTTTTCAGCCCCCCTTTTGTTTTTTGTTTTTTAATGTTTTCTAACATTTCTACATTTATTCATTTATTTGGTGTGTGTGTGGACAAATGTGCCATAGCATGCATGTATCTGTCAGAGGGCAACTTGTGGGAGTCAGTTCTCTCCTTCCATTATGTGGATCTGAGTATTGAAGTCAGGCAACAAGCACCTTAGCCTACTGAGCCATCTTGCTGGCCCACAAATAGAGTATTTAAAAAATTGTTTTTGTGGGGTCAGTGAAACATAGTTTCCACACTGCAGCCAAGACTGACCTCAGACTCAGGACAGTCCTCCTGCCTCCACCTTCCAAGTGATGGGATTATGAGACACCACAGCTGCCTTTATTTTTACTTCTTTTTTATTTTTTTCTTTTCTTTTTGAAATAGGGGCTCTCTATAGCCCTAGCTAGCCTGGAACCCATTATGTAATCCAGGCTAGCCAGGATCTCACAGAGATCTGCCTGCCTATGCCTCCCAAGTGCTGGGATTAAAGGCGTGCACCACCACACCTGGCACTTCTTTTATTTTTTGAGATAGCTTCATATAGTCCAGGCTGGCCTCCAACTTATGTTGCTGAGGCTGACCTTGAACTACTGTCCTTCTGGACCTGTCTCCAGAGTGCTAGAATTACAGGTGCATGCTACTGTGTCTGCTTTACTTCTTGTGCCTTTGAGAGGGTCTTGCTGTTACCCTAGGCTGCCTAGAATTTGTGGCCCTCTTACATTGAGGATGCCGGACTCAGGTTTGTACACCCCCCACCCCAGCTGAAAAGTAGCTTTTTAATTTTATTAAACGCCTCAGCCTTTCAAAGTCCCCTTTCACTTCCCTCTGCCATTGCTTCTTTTAGGAGGAAAGTGCTGGAAGGGAAAGACTGTCAGGCAGAAGCTCCCTGCCCTTGTCACCTGCCCAGCCCCTCAGCTCCACATTCCAAGGTACTGCTGCCTCCGTGGAAGAGGACCTTGCTACGGAGAATGACATCTCAGAGCACATGGGTGCCAGCTCAGCATCATCTGTCCAGACTCACAGAGTATCCAGCAGGCAATCAGCTGAGACTCCCATGACCCACATGGCCAGCATGGTTTACACTGAGGACTTTGAGCAGTCCTCTAGTCCCTCAGCGTTTGAGAAGTCTCTTGACAGGACACTGGACACATTGTCTCAGTTTTCTTCCAGTCTGAAGGCAGACCTTTGTCCTAGCAGACCACCCCTAGCTAGGACAAAGTGGGGCCGAGGCATGACAAGAGTTGTGAAAGAGACAGCTGTGCAGACTCTCGACCCTGCCTTCGCCTACCAGTGGACCAAGGGTAAGTGAGGGGCCTGTGGAGACTGGGGTGGCCTTGCAGTATCCTTGTGAGCCAGTGGAAAAGGGCAGGTGCCCCAGTCTTGGCTCTTGTCATAAGTCAGCTTGTAGAGGGATCTTGGCACCTCCATTTCCTCTTCCCTAGAGACAGGAAGGTGGGGATGGGACATCCCCAGAGCAAGCTAGCTAATAACACCAAGGAGCTGTGGGTCAGATTGAAAGACCTGCCAGGGCCGGGCGTGGTGGCGCACACCTTTAATCCCAGCACTCGGGAGGCAGAGGCAGGTGGATCTCTGTGAGATCGAGGTCAGCCTGGTCTACATAGTGAGTTCCAGGGCAGCTGGGGCTACAGGGATACCCTGTCTCAAAAAGAAAGACCTGCTGGAAGGCAGAAGAGCCATCCAGGCTGATTTCCAACAGTACGCATATGTACCCACACACATGTGAAACATGCAAACACAGGCATGCATACCACCTACACACACGAGAAATGGAAAAAATAAACTTGCCGTGTTGGGCATCAAGGGGAGCCCCACTTCAAACTGATAGTCAGCAGGTCAGAGGGGAAAGGAACAGGTGACTGTGGTCTAGTTCAGTGTCATGTACATGGACTAGAAAGCCCATTATCCACTCACACCTGCTTTGTCTTTGGACAGCGGGCAGCATGGCAACCATGGGACCTGTCCTGGGAGGTGCCTACGTGGACCCAGTACCTGTTGCCAGTCACGTGGTCAGTGCAGATGCCATTGAAGGTAACAGCCCAGCATGGTGGCCTGCTTCCCTACAAATTCCTGTCTATTCCTGAGGTGTGAAGCCCCTTTAATACTAGCCTCAAGAAATCTATAGGGGGTGTCATTGTTACTAGCTGACAGGCTCTTAGAGGGCAGCTTGTCAGTGGCCCAGAACCTTCTTTCTGTCTCTTGGAAAGGGATGCAAAAGTCAAAACACAGAAGGCTGGAAGTGATTCACCAGGGCTGGAGGTGCACTGCAGAGAGCCTTCACAGTGCTCACTGAATGCTCGTGACTGGGGTTCTATGCCAGTCTTGACTGAGTGCCTGAGGCCCGGGTTCCATCCCAGAAGGGGCTCAGCTCAAGTGCACATGTCATGGCACAAATTTCACAGAGAACAGGTTGGGGGAGTTGGTTCTAGCCTTCCACCATGTATGTCTTAGGGATCGAACTCAGGTTGTCAGGCTTGGCAGCAGGTACCTTTATATACCGAGCCATCTCGACAGCCTCCTTCTCTGTCTTTTTGATTGGGGAATCAGTGTGGCTATGTAGCTCAGGTTGATACTGGCCTCAGGATCTTTCTCAGATTCAGACAGTTTTTTTTTTTTTCCTTAGATCTGAAGATAATAAAGCCTACAGGTTGTGGCAAGAGGATTTCCCATCCTATTTATAATCTAATGTGGCCAGAAAGTTTCTCTATGTTAGTGGGCGGTCTTAGTGAGCATTGCAATAGGAATGGAACTTTTTATTTTTACTACATTTTACATTTTTTTTTTTTGGTCTTTTTGAGAGAGGGTCTCCCTGTAGCCCCAGCTGGCCTGGAACTCACTATGTAGACCAGGCTGGCCTTGAACTCACAGAGATCCGCCTGCCTCTGCCTCCCGAGTGCTGGGACTTAAGGCGTGTGCCACTGCACCCGGCACATAAGAAATATTTTTTTAAAAATCTTTGTTCTTCAGTATGTGAAGGTGCTTTGCAGACAATGATAGACTGGCACCATCCTTTGAAATATTCTGGAAAAAATTTCATTTTGTACCCTTTGTATGTTCAGAATGTGGCATTCTCAGAAACCCTAAAAAAAAATGAGAATAAAAAATAAACCAATTTAAAAAAAAATCTTTGTTCTTACTAGCTAGTCCCAGTTACCTGAAGTCCAAGCTCCTGAGGCAGGAGGATTGATTGAAGTCTTGTCCCTCAAAAATTGTTTTGTGATGGTGCAGGGTATGGGTGGATGTGTGTGTGTGTGTGTGGGGGGGGTCGTCTCACTATGGTCTGACACTCCAGATGTGTGTGTGGTCTCACTATGGTCTGACACTCCAGATCCTCCTGCCTCAACTCTCCTGTGTGCTGGGGTGACAGGTATGTGAGACCATTCCCAGATAGAGATTTTTCTTGAGCTCTTGGTAGGGGCTGATCTTTAATGGTTGTGTGTGGCTATTGACGTTAGTTTAGTAAAGAGAGCAGGACTCAGTGTGTGGTCCCCAGACAGCCCAGGCAAAGAGGCTGAGTGCTGGGGACTGCAGAAGGTGAGGCTCCAGTGGGGGGGGTCCATAGAGGGAGGAACATGGGGCAGGGCCGAGGGGGTAGAGGTGGCCCTTGCAGGGCCAGTGGGGGCACTGGGGAGCCCCCCAGTGACATGGCATGGGCAGCCCTGACAGCCTACAGCCCAGCTGCATTAGCGCTGAATGACATGCTGAAACAGCAGCTGAGCCTGACACAGCAGTTCATCGAGGCCAGCCGCCAGCTGCACGTGGCCCTCCTGCAGTCCCTGGACGAGGACTCCTTCCACTACCACACCCTGGAGGAAGCCAGAGAGGTGATGGCTGTTCAGCCTGTGTTCCAGGGGGTTTTGTGGGGGGATGACACCTCAGATGGAGGTACTCACCCAGGGCCACAAGGCAGCCTTGAACCCCAGGGGCCCCACACACTGGGTACTGGGTACTATGTCTTCCCCGGGATGGGTCTTAACCCCTTCTGGACCCTTTTGGACCAGTGGGCTATGGCTGCTCCAGTCTGCAGTCTTAGGAGAAGTCACCCTTCACACTCACATTTTTGACTCATGACACGTTTACTGTGTACAGACTTTTGCATCCATTTCTAGCAACACAAAAACGGATCCTATCAGCTCCTGCCGCAGTCTAAGCCACTCTGTTTATAGACAGCACTGGACTGTACGCATTGCTGTGTAGATGGGTTGTTCCACTTCACACATATTACAGTGTGTAATTCTGAAAACAATGTAATCAGACTGCCAAATTACACAGACTAAGTTTTGGCATACCCCATGTTTAGACGCCTGCTGCTTATTAAAGGTGGATATTTCACCCCATTTTATTAGTATTGCTGATTGTTTTTTTGAGACAGGGTCACTATAGCACAGGCTGGCCTGGAACTTGCCACATAGCTGAGGCTGGCCTCTAACTCCTGGACCTCTTACCTCTACCTCCTGAGTGTATTTTATTTATTTTTTGGTCTTTTTGAGACAGGGTTTCCCTGTAGCCCCAGCTGCCCTGGAACTATGTAAACCAGGCTGGCCTTGAATTCACAGAGATCCTCCTGCCTCTGCCTCCTGAGAACTGGGATCAAAGGTGTGTGCCACCACGCCTGGCTATTTTACTTTTATTAAAATGTCTGTACTACTAGCTGGTTCCCAGAACATTCTGAGCACCTGATCTGTCACCAACCTACATCCCTGGCTTTCTCCATTTTAAATCAAGATCCTAAGTCCATTCATAGTTTTTGGTTTTGTATGTAGGGCCTCCTGTAACTCTCCTATTTCAGCCCCCAGGGCGCTGGGATAACAGGCATGTGCTACCATACCCAGTGCCATCCAGGACAACTTCTTGTTCCTCTCCTTCCATTAAGTGGGTCCTGGGAGGTTGAGCTTAGGTCATGCTGGGTGGCGAGCCTTTACCCACTGAACCATCTCGCAGGCCCTCACTTTTTTTATTTTCTTGAGTGTAGCCCAGGGTTAGCTTGGAACCTGACACACACACCCGAGCCTTAGCCTCCTAAATGCTGGCATCATAGGGGTGCTGCCATGCCCAGCTCAAAGTCCACACTGAGATGACTGGCTTGCTCTCTTAACCTAGAGTGCAATGATTGTCTGGCTTGCTCTCAGAGTGTGCAGCTAGTTCACAGCTTTCCCCTGGCTCCCACTCCAGGTCATCCCAGAATGGCTTTCTTGAGCCATCGTGTTCTCAGAGTACCTTAGACACTCTCCCAAGTTAAGTCCCACCCCATCTCTCCATCTGTCCAGCACCTGTCACAAGTTTCCCACCATGTAACTTCCTGTCCTGTGTTCTACAGTACATTAGGTGCCACAGGCCCATGCCACTGACCATGGAGGCTGCCCTTCAGGAGGTGAAGGAAGAGCTACAGGTCCTACCATGTGAGTGAAGAAAGGTCTGGGGTTCCCTGTGGCCAATCCCATCTCAGTAACCACATTCCATGCTTCCAGCCCCCATCTGCCCAGCAGATGGCTGTGAAGACACATGAGGAACCAAGGCCACCCAGCAGGAATGGGAACCCTGTGAGGATGAGAACACCATGTGCCAGGACTGCTTCCCAGCCTGATGAGCCTGGCACCCTGCACATCCAGCACCCAGGAACCTGCACGGAGCAGCCTCCTCATGGCCTGCGCACCTTTCTCAACACCTGGAGAAAGCCATCTTTTAAAAAGGCTTTATTTGAAGGCAGAAACAGTCAAATCCACACGAAACAGTTAACAGCATGAGTTTATGCTGAATTTGACACATCTGAGTCGGTCACAGCTGTGGGAATCTAAATCAAAACCAAACTGTGTATTGAAAAGTCGGAGAGAACTTTGCATTTTATTGAAAAGAACATTTCAAAAGTTTCTATACAAACAATGGCACCGTGCTGCCCCTGGACCCAGCAGAGGCTCCCTCAGTCTCACCTCTCTGGTGTGGGCTGCCCCTACACTGATTGGTGTACTCGGTGCTGGTTGGGCCCTGAGTGGCAGCCACAGTAGGTGTTGGGTGAGGGAGTCTGACAGGCTCAGAACCTTTACCTAGGTCAGACAGACAGCTAATGTTTGAGGAAAAGGGTCAACAAATACAGCTATAACTGAACAAGGGAGTCAGGTTCAAATGCCCTCCCAGGGACTGGCTTAGATCAGCACTTTTTCTAAAGCAAAACCAGGTGGAACGAGAATAAAATCTGTTTTGGACTCTGCAACTCCAAGTGTTTGCTGTTCACGTTTATAGTACGGGCAGCAGCAGGCTGGCCCCAGCTTTTGTCACTGCCCAGCTGGTGTGTGGCTATCCAGCATGGCTTGAGCTGGTATTCAGGGGCTTTGCACTCTTGGTCTGGAGGAGGCTCAGACCTGACCTGGGAACCCCATGGCCCCCGGGTGGCAGGAGCTCAGGTTCCAGGCTGGAGGGTCTTGGTTTCGTGCTTGGTAAGGGGGGCTCAGGTCTGCACATCAGTCCTCCTTCTCTTCCTTCCGGGCCCCGAATGTGGAGACTGCATGAGAACCAGCTGTCATTGTCTTTCTCAGCAGGAAGCTAGCTGGGCAGGTCCCTCTGCTGGCATCACTGGCCGCCCACCTGCCCACCCAGCCTATCACTCACACTCATCCCTGGCCTTCATGCGCGCGATGAATGAGTAGCTCTTATTGCGGCGGTAGTTCTCATAGGGGTCGTCCAGGGCCACGCCCACACCCTTGTATTGGTCCCACTTATCCCGGACATCCCCGCCCTTGATGGGGTCCTGGATGCCCTGTTCTTTTGCACCAAGGCCACCAGAGCCACTCCAGCCTTGAAGGAAGAACACACATTTATAGTCACACAGGTGGCAAGGCTGTAGCCAAGCCCCTAGGGAGCCTAGTACAGGGAGCAAGCTGTTTATGAACACAGATACCTGAACCCCAGAGCCCTGCAGGCTGTCAAGTCAGAAGTACCACATCTTTCTGTGGTCACCTCTACTCCCCTAGCAGGCTGGTCTCAGGCTTGAACACTTACCCATCTTCACCAGCATCTGGTGTCCCTTGTTCTCCTCTCCAAGTCTGGAGTCTGCTATGGGAGGTGCTGAATTAGAACCCAGGCCTGCGGCAGAGCTGGAACAGAGATGGTATTTTAAAAGCAGAGGCACCGATTAAAACAGCCACCAGACCACAATATGCGGGCTCAGTTAATGTTCTGACAAGTTTTGGGGCTCTTTTGTCTGTAGCTCAGTAAAGGTCCCTGGGGTGGTTCCCACCCCACCAAAACCTTAGTGGCTGGGGCACCAGGCTGGAGTGTAAGGGGGAATGCATGGGTGGCACCCAGGCTAGAAGAGAGACCTTAACACCTCACAGCATGGCCCCAAGCCCCTGACATGCCCATCCTGGCTGGTCACCAAGGGGTCTTACGGCGGGGTAGGGCTCCGGGACCTGGAGCGGCGCCTCCTCCCTGGTGAGTAGGACTTGGACCTGGACCTGGAACGTGAGCGGCTTCTGGAGGAGCGTGAACGGCTTCGGCTTCTGTGGGGACAGTGGGTGTGGGCAGCGAAAGGGCAGGAGTACACAGCCTGGGGCCCCAGCCACCCCACCACCACCTACCTGGACCTGGAGCGCGAGGAGGAGCGGGAACGTGAGCGTGAGCGTGACCTGGAGGATGAACGTGAAGACTTGGAGGAACGTGAGCTGGAACGTGAGGACGAGCGGCCGCGGCTCTTGGATCTGCTCCGGGACCTAGATGGGCCACTGGGGAAGAGGTGCTGTGGTGAGGGCCACAGTACCACTGGCACAATGATGCCACCCCAGTGCCCTTCAGCCGGCAGCTCACCTGTTCCTCTTTTCCTGGCCTTTACGCCGCCGGGCCCGCATCTTGGCTCGGAAGAACTCATAGAGGCCGTTCTGTTCCCAGCCTTCACTGCAAGATGTATTTCCCGTGAGGCTCCAGATGCCCTCCTGAGGGCCATGGTCACTCAGCAGGAGGGACCCCCAGCCCCCAGTGCTGGCTGAGGCTCTGCTGTGCCCCCAGCCCTTTCCCCTGCAGCCACCAGGAGCCTTCAGGAGCCAGTCACTGGAGAAGCAACAAAGTGCCCAGAGATGACAGGTAGGCAGCCTCCCCCAGGTGTTTTCCAGTGACTGGAGCTGCCCTTCCCATGTGCCCAGCAGGGACACACTGCTCCAATGGCTAGATGGCACGAGGCCTTGATCTCCATGCCCTGCATCCGCATACATGGCATTCGGCACACCAGTCCTTACGTGGCACAGGTTTGAGTCTGCTGTCCTTACCTGTTCCTGGGCCTGTCATGGGAGGGTGGGCTGTAGAAGGCCTCCACGGCTGCCAGCAGCCTCTCGCTGGGCGGCATGGGGGGTGGGAGGCGGATGTCTTTGGGGTCTAGAGGCTTGTACTCATGGTCCTCCAACTGCACAAGAACACAGCTGTGGCTGGCATCCCACAGAGCCCTCCTGAGCCACCCGGGGTGTGGTTGAGGACAGGACAGCAGCAACACAGGCTCAGGGTCCTCCCTAACACCAGCGCCCTTTCCTCCCATTCTAACCTCCCTAGGGCCTGGCCCACACTCTTGGGGTGCATCACCTTCACGAGGGGGGCCATCAGCCCTGCAGGAAGATCGAAGTAGGGCACGTTGGGGACCAGGCTAGGATCATCATGGTTGATGTGAGGTGGGCCCTGCCGTCGCATGTGGGGGGGCTGCCCATTGAAGCCATGAGGGGGCGGGCCAAAGTCGGGGTGCTGGGGCCCAGCCCAGGGCGGGTGCTCATTGATCCCAGGGTGAGGCATGCGGTGACCAGGGTGGTGGTGAGGAGGTCCCATCTCTGCAAAATGGAACATAACTTAGGCCCGTGGGGACACTGATCACTGGGTGTGACAGCCCTGGAGAAGGGGGCACCAAGACGGAGACAGGGCTTAAGGGCTTGTGCGCTCAGACATGGGTCCAGCTGAGGGACTCAAATCAGAAGAGGCTTGGGAGGCCACCGGAGCAGCCCAGCAGCGTCACCAAGAATATGCTGAGGTCCTCCCCATCCCTATCAACACAGAGGAGCCAGCCTCCGTGGGCTTTACAGCACAGCCAAAGTGGGGCCAACACAGTAACCCCAAGAGGCAATGAAGAAACAGGCCAAGAACAGCCTTGGCAGGGAGTGAAAACAGTGTTTCAGGGCAGGTGACAAAGTAAAGGACCTTGGAGAAAGAAGCAAGTCCCGTCCTGCCTCTCCCGGCCTCAAGGTACTTCAAGTGCTTCTAGCTGGTGCCTGAAGACAGGCACATAGGGCTTGGCTCCTGGCACATGACTCCTGATCCAGGTGATGAGGACAGAAGTGGGATCTATCCTTTTGGCACTGTGCCTGCCACCTCTACAGGCACTAGGCAGCACAGTAGAGGCTTACTGGCTGGCCAGTCCCACACCTCTTCTGGCCCTACCAGACCTTGCCTTGCCATCCCCGACTCACCTGCTGGGAAGTCCCCCTGGGGGTAGTCAAAACGATGAGGGTATGGTGGCCGCTCGAAAGGGTGGCGTGGGGGGAAGTCATCCTGCATGAAGCGGGGAGGGAAGCGGTTGAAGTTGTGGGGGTGTGGCGGCTGGTTGAACTGAGGGTGCTGCTGGTGTGGTGGGAAGGGTCCTCGGAAATGGGGTGGCCGTTGCATGCGGAAGGGCGGCTCTCGCTGGGCACCACCCCAGGGTGGTGGCTCATGCTGGTTGTTCCAGGGACCCTCAAACTGGCTGTTCCAGTTGGGGTCTGGCTGGTTGTTCCAGGGTGCATCTCGCTGGCCATTCCAGCCAGGGTCTCCACGCTGCTCACCCCACATGCCCTCGTGGCTGTTGTTCCAGGGTGGGCAGTGGGGTGGTCCGCCCTGGTGGTGTGGGTACGGGGGCTGCTCGGGTGGCTGCAAGGCAAAACACAGACGTGAGCCAGGAGTCTGGCCTACAGTCACTTGCCCAACCACCACACCTACAACCTCATGCCTTAAAGCTGTCTTGGCCACTGGAGCTGCTGTGTCTGCAGGAAGACCAAAGTGCCCTCCTCCCCAGTGTGTGACAGTGATACCAGCTCCATAGTGGAACACAGCAGGGGAGCATCTTGTACCAAGTCTCCCAACACCTCAGCACACTGGGCCCAGGATCCCTGAGCCACTCTGCTCTCTGTATCATGTCCCTTGTTCAGGCCACAGCCTGAGGTCAACAAAAGCACCTGCCCTTGTATCCTTACCCCCCATGCTAGGACAACAGCTGTCTGTGGCCTGAAGATGTCCCCAGCACTGCAGGAGCAGGCACGGACAAGGCCAAGAAGCCCCTTAAGCCTGGAAGCAAGCTGCACCAGCCATACCTACTGGTGGGATGCTCCCTCCCCAGGGCTTCCAGAGCCCTATCTCCCAATAGAAGGAATGACCTCTAAGTGTGCTGGACACCATGAGGCAGGCACAGCCAGCTCCCAGGGCTTTTAGTGGGGCCCATGCATTAGTCCCAGGAGAACCTCAAACTCAATCCTCCTGCCTAAATCTCCCAAGCATGCTCCACTTCACCTGCGCCCAATTCCATTTTTCTGTTTTGTAGAGCCAGGGATAGACTCTGGGGCCTTGCCCTCTACCCCGGCTATTAGCCAGGCCCCTAGATCTTCTAAATCTTTGGAGTTAAGGCCTCAGTTTCCCCATCTCTCTCAGAGGTTCCCACCCACCAGACTGAGAGCTGACACTAGGAAGTGGGTGCTATCTATGGGGGATGTACAATCTCACGTCAAGTGAATGCTCTGGTCTAAGGCTGAGGACTGGGGAGCTCAGAAACTTAACTTGCAATCCTCGGTCCAGAACCGAGTCCCTGGTACCCTCATGTGTTGCCCACAGTCAATAGGAAAGCCACACTCAACGGACAAGCAAAGCCTCACTGAAAAACTTCAGGACCATACCCAGTTGCACCCTGCAAACTCCAGGACATTCCTGGTTACTCACTAGACACTGTACCCAGTGACCCCTGCCTTGGCATAGAGGCACGTGAAGTCCTATGGCAATGCAGCTTCTATCTGTGGCCTTCTGGAGAAGCCCACAGCTCTAACCTGCTGAAGGACCTGCAAGATGCACTAGCTGAGACAGGTGGAGGATGGTCCTGAGAGGCCTGACCCATGGCAGCAGGGAACATACTAAGGCTTCACTGTCCCCACAGTCACTATGGCTGCCCCTGCCTGCTACCCACAGGATCTCATTAGGTGCTATGGATGGAACCCTGGGTCCATACAGATGTTGAGCAGGAGCTTCACTCAAATGCCTCCCACAGGTTTCAGGAAGTACCTGCTGCTGGCCCCAAGGGGCAACAGGGTGTGGCTGATCAAACCAGGGAGGCTTGTTGGGCGGAATCTGCTCATGTGGCCCTGGACCCCGGGGGCCTGCAGCTGCAGGATCCTGGACACCTCCTGCAGTGTCGTACTCTGAAGATCCAGGCATCTGGATGGGAGGCTTGCTGTCATCTAAACCCAGGCAACAGGCAGCAAGGTGGCAAGTCAGCAAAGAAGCCTGTTCAGCTTCTAGCAACCACCCGAGCCAGCACAGACCGGGTTGTCCTCCTTCCTGAGAGCCCACACTGAAAGCTGCCACAACCTTCACCACTACCACGGTCACCACTCTCCTCTAGGCAGGGGACCCAAGAAAAGGATTTTCTCACTGTGCATGACATGTACCTGTTTTTGTCCATAATTTTCTAAACTATGGATTTTAAAACTAACTCCCTGTGTGGCATATGTGTGGAGGTAAGAGGCCATCTGGGAGTAGGGTCCCCTTGCACTGAGGTAATTAGGGACGAGACAGGTCATCAGGCTGTGTAAGCCCCTCTGCCTCCTAAGCCATCTCAACACCCACCTTCCACTGAGCCTGGGCTCACTGATTCAGTTATGCTAGGGCCAGTGAGATCCCAGGAGCTGCCCATCTTTGCCTCCCACAGCACTGGAACTATAGACATGTGCCACTGCACCCAGCTTTTTTGGGGGTTCTTCTTGAGACAGGCTTGAGGCTTGAGGTAGCCCCAACTGGCCTCGAACTCACAAAGCTCTGCCTGCCTCTGCCTCCCGAGTGCTGGGATTAAAGGCATGCGCCACCATGCCCGGCCATTTATTTATTTATTTTTTGTCTTTTTGAGGCAGGGTCTCTCTGGAGCCCCAGCTGGCCTGGAACTTTGTAGACCAGGCTGGCCCGCGGTGCACCCAGCTTTTTACAGGAATGGTAGGGATTCAAACTGAGATCCTTATGCTTTCATGACAAGCACTTTACTGACCGAGCCATCTCTCTAGCCCCAATTAAGAATGCTGAATCTGGCCAGGCGTGGTAGCACACGCCTTTAGTCCCACCACTTGGGAGGCCATAGGCAGGCGATCTCTGTGAGTTCCAGGCCAACTGGGACTACAGGGAGACCCTGTCTCTGAAAAACCAAAAAAAAAAAAAAGAATTAATCTGGAATTTTAAATCTGACTTTTTTGCTATTTAGTTTGGGGGATTTTAGACAGGGTCTTACTACATAGCCCAGACTGGCCTTGAACTCCTGTGTCTTTGTGCTTCAGGCTCAGTGCTCAGATCACAGGTATCACTAGCACAAAGGGCTGGACCTATTTTGAGAGCTTCTGACCCCAATTTCCTGAGTGCAGAGATGACACATAAACCACCATGTTCAGCCATTTTAGACCTTACTCAGGTTCCGTATTTCCATGTCTTTGCTCAGAAATGTCCTTTATGTACATATACATGTGCTAACACAATAGATATTGGATACAGACCTGTCAATATACGTGTATGTTTAGAGCTACACTAGAATCCAAGGCCCTGGACCACACCTTTAATCCTGTACCTTGCCCCGAGATCATAGCTGTCCTGCCTTCCTCTATTCTGGGAATGAGTAGACTGCTGGGAGTTTTTACCTGGCCTGGGCTTGTAAGCAGATCAAACCTAGTTCAGCAGTGGGTGTTGGCTATGGAGCTGGCCATATTCAAGAAGTGTGGTTTCTGCCACATTCAGGACAACCAGCCTCAAGGGGAGGGAGCCTCCTACCTGGCTGGGTGGTGGGTGGGATGACAGGGGCAGGTGCTGGGGCAGGGGGAGGTGCGGGTGGTGGAGGTGTGGCCTTCACTTCAGCTTCCATCTGTGGCATCTGAATCTGTGGTGGTGGCTGCTGCTGCTGCTGCTGCTGCTGCTGCTGCTGCTGCTGCTGCTGCTGCTGCTGTTGCTGCTGCTGCTGCTGGGCCAGGGTGCTGACGAACTCCTCGTGTTGCGTCTTGAGGCTCTGGATCTGCTGCTGGAAGGCCAGCTGCACAGGCTGTACCACCGAGGAATACTCGCTGATGAGGGTAGCCTGGCAGAGAGAGGAGCGCTGCCACTCAGGATGCCACCCAAGGGTGTGGGATCCGGCCTCAGATTTGGCAATGAGGAAGGCAATGTGGGTAGGCTAGAACTTCCTGGTTCTGGGCTCAGGTGACCCAGCCTGGCTCTGGGCAAGTCAACACCCTTGGAGTCTCTCCTGTAGGTAGGCACTGCAGGAGCCCCACCTCTGTGGTTCCATGAAACACTGCAAGAAGTGTGTATGGGAGGTGGGTGGCTTACCTGGTATTGGCCGAGCCCCAGGGCTGGGCTCTGCAGCTGCTGAATGATGGAATCATCGAAGTAGCCGTTCTTCTCCCAGAGCTGCAGGAGCTGGGCGCAGAGAGGTATGTTAGGCAGAGCCCTGTCCATGGCAGTCCCACCCTGCCCTACCCCTGCTGGTCTCCCCTGCACCCTTGTACCCGGGCGATCTTCTGCTGCTTGTCCTCTTCCACAGCAAGGAAGCTGGTGCAGTAGATGGGTACCACCACCTTTTGCAAGGCAGCCAGCAGTTCCCGGGCCTGCTTGCGCTGGCTGTGAGGGAGAGACCTTCCACGCATCAGGGCCCTGGGGCCACACGCCCATTACCATGCAGCTCCAGCCACAGCACCCTCTCTCCTTCTCAGCAAATCGTCCCCCACTGCAGCAGGGTGATGGCTGGACTCCCTATAAGGCCCATGTAGGCGCCTGGTTTGGGGAGATAGCTGGAGGAGAATGCACACCCCAGGGCCATTCAGGAGGCCTTCACTGTCAGAAGGTCCTGGTAGGGAAGGACACAAAGCCCATATGAGCCCGTGTACATAAAGGCTGTGAGAGGACTGTGGGGTCAGGACCTTGTCACTGTGCACAGGAACATGTTTCAACAGTCTCTCAGGGGAGTACCCAGCCCCACAGGCCCACCAAGTAGAGCTACCTGCCATCTAACAACCCTATGGAGGCTGGAATTGGCTCAGGGTGCAGCACTTGCCTGCCATGTGCAAGTTCCAGGGTTCTACGCCCAGTGCCACAGGGAAAAAAGGCGGGAAGGGAAAAGGAAACCAAAGAGCCTAGGAAGACTGCAGAAGCCATAGAATGCTACAGCTGTCAAATGCAGTGGCCCCTGACTTCTGCATGGCTGTGGCTCAGCAGATTGGCCACATGCAAAGCCAGGAAAGGTGCAGGAAGAGACTCCGTGAACCCTACTGGGCTTTGTGAGTCAAGGTGAATGCAGTCTGTGGAAGTCAGAGAGGGAGGCCATGTGAACAAAGGCTCTATACCCAGAGGCAGGAATAAGCCGGCAAGAGGGCAGGGGGCAGAAAGAAGGGTGAGGCAGCGAGGGCTGTGTGCACAGGAGACATCGGGGGAGGACCCCGGCTGGCTGCATGCCCAGGAGACTGGCAAGTCCCAGGGAGGAAAAGGTCAAGCCAGCTCTCTCCTGCACTCATGGGAGCCATGTGCTCCATCAGCCAGAGGCGTCCTGGCTGACAGTCATGCACAAAAACAGGCAGGGCAGCCAGCCTTGCCAATCGGCTAATCTGGCTAGCATCAGCTTGCCTGTCTGGCTAGCATGAGTCTCCTGCACCGGCCTCTGGCCATGGCCCGGGTTTCTTCAATCAACCACACCAATTGGCTATGGGGAGGCTGGGGCCATGGTATGAAGGAGCCAAGGATTAATGGGGCAGAGGATAGCAAAAGTGGCCCCTTGGGTGTGTCAACACAGAGGGATGCCCACGATTTAGCAGAGGGGTGGGGTAGGGGGGAGGGTGACACACAGGCAGACACAGGCAATGGAACCCAAGGCCCAGTGGCTCAGTATTCGAATGTAGTATACATCAGGTGGATAATGGGGGCTGGCTGCAGGGTCAGGAGGGCCATGGAGCTCACCAGTGGTGTAGCACATCGTTGATCAGGTAGATGAGGTGCAGCCGCAGTTCAAAGTGTGCTCCATCAGCCGTAATGCGGTTGCGCAGGTGGCCTGCCATCAGTTCGCAGTGTGGTGGGGACTTAGCATTGCTGAACATCCAGTTCTTCCCAGCCTGGGATAGTCAGGCCCTGGTGAGTGGTGGCCAGGTTGGGGAAAGAAGCCCTACCTCCACCCCGCATCGTGTGTGAGCAGGCCGTGCAGAGCTCACCGAGATGGCATCTTTGGTGCAGGTGTCAATGATGGGCTGCAGTAAGCTGTCAAACTCTGTCATGTCCAGCTGTGTCTCCTCAAGAAGTTTTTGCATTTGCTGCTCTACTGCATGCGCCACGGCGGATGTCACTTGCTCCTAGGAAGGGACAGGAAGGGTGAGAGGCCTACACAGGGAGTTCTGACAGACATATTGGGTCTGTCCGGAGGGTCTGCCAAGGACTGTAACAACCATCCCCATGAGGGCTAAGGCAGAGGACAGAGCAGGATGAGATGACTGGGTGACATCGCAGGCCTCTGCACACAGAAGGGGAAGCCATGGACAACGGTGCCGGAGAACTGACTAAACCATGGCAAGGACGGGGAGAGATGGGCACGGATAGCCAGCACAGAGGGCAGCCTGCAGAGACACAGGCCCAAAACAACAAAAAGAAACCAACCCGCTGGCCCTGCCTTTAACCTCAGCACTCAGGAGGCAGAGGCGGGCAGATCTCTGGGAGAGCAAGGCCAGCCTGGTCTACAAAGAGAGTTCTAAGCCAGCTGAGGCTTCAGGGAAACCCTATCTCAAACAAAAAGAGACAACCAAAAATATAAAACACCCCAGTAATTAACCAAACAAAAAACCAAATTCCACAGCCAGCAAGCTGCTAAGAGGCCAGTTTCGGTGCCCAAGGCCACGCCTTTGACTAGGGCAAACACCCCTGTGTGGTGACAGTCATGACAGGGTGGCCCCATGTGGGTCTCCCCCTCTTGTTTCTGGTGGTTCATTCTAGAAATGGTGAAAGTAGCAGCCTGACAGAAATGGACAAAATCATCCTACAATCTGAGTCTGCCGGGCACCTCCATCAGATGGTGGCATCCACTGTGGACACTCTGGTCCACCTGGAAGGTGACCCCAGGGGCACAGGCATCCATTCATGGGAACCAGCTTGGAGCCCAGGACTGGGGTGGTTGAGGGTACAGCCTGGTTGACAGTGGGTGCCCAGGCCCGGCAGAGGGTTGTACCTGGCGCAGGGCCAGCAAGTGCTGTTCCTGCTGCTGGAGATTCCACTGGCTCTGCTGGATCAGCTCATCCACAGAAGGGGTGCCCTGGGCTGGTGCAATGGGTGTCGTGGGAGCCAGCGGAGGCTGCGGCAGTGGGGGAAGGGATGCGGCTGGCTCCAGCTCCGGGGCCTGCTGCTTGCAGATGACTAGCAGAGGAGAAATGGGTTGTATGAGGCCATGGCTGGCCCCAGGTGTCCCCTCAGCCATGGGCACACTAAGCCTCTGAGGAGGGCCTGGTGTAGCTACAATAGATACAACACTGTGGGTGTGCCACTGCCCCTACCCCCACCCCACCCACTGGGCACCATCGTCACCACTGCCCTGCCTGGCCCCCGCCCCGGCTCCTGAATCTCCTCTTCACTACCTTGCTGCCAATGCTACCAGATCCTTCTCTAGTATCCCTGCAGCACAGGCTGAACCTGCCCACTTTCCATCTCACTTAGGCCTAAGTTAATGTGTAACGATGCGGTCCTCTCCTGGGGATGTCTCTGACCTGTGCCACTGTCCCCTAACATGCCCCTCACCTTGGCAGCTTGGTCAGCACACTGGGCGCCTGCAGCCCCAAGACAGGGTGCTCCCACTCCCTGCCTCACCCTCTGGTAACCTTGCCTATGCCTATAGGTAGCCCTATGCAAGGGAACCTTCTGCGTTTGGATTCCATCCAGCTTGGGCTACCAGCGACACAGCAGTTCAGTGGCAGATGACTGAGGCAGTCATGTGCCCTAATTCTGGCCAGAGAGTCTTCAGGTAAAGGTCCCTGCTTACAGGGGGGATAAGAGGGCCTGCCTGGTTCCAAATGAACATGACCATACTCTATGAGAGGCCCCAAGGCTTACCTCAGAGGAATGGCTTTTGAACAAAGCCAAAAAAAGTAGTAAGAGGTGGAAGGTGGCAGGTGCCACCAGGGCCCACAGCTGGTTACTGTCCACAAATATCTAGGCCTGAGTAGTACCCCATGGTCTGCCTAGTTTGAGTTCTGGAACCCACTCTCCCAGGGATGAACCTCTGCCTCCCCATGGAGCCAGTGCCATGGATTCCTGCTCACTGACCACATGGTCCAGCTTTGCACAGGCTGCTCAAGGTCATCACGCTGCCTCTCAGCCCATCTAGATGCCCACTCCTGCACCCCCCATTCACCTCCAAGCATGGCATAGCAATCCACTGGTGTTATGCCCCTCACCCCAACCAGTGGCATGGTATCATTAAGTCAGCCACCATGCCCACTCTTCAATGTCCCTGCTGCAACGTCCCTGGGTGACAGCTATGGGAAGGGCAAGTAGCATGTGGGCATCTTACCACAGTGGGCATCTTACCACAGTAGACTTTTGTTGTACTCTACAAACACATGAGGCCACAGCACAGGCCAACTGGAAATTTTAAGGGTTAACTCACTACTGGTCCTTCACCGTGGAGTTTGCAGAGAACAATCCTGAGGCTTAGTGTTAAAATACTGGGTTAGGAGCTGGAAAGATGGGTCACTACTGGAGTGCTCTCGTTGAGGACTCGGGTTTGGTTCCCAGAACCCACAAGGTGGCTAATAATGATCTGTAACTCCAGTTCCAGGGGGTCTGATGCCCTCTTTCACCCTCTACGGACAGGCTACACCAGGCGAAGCATTCATGGTGGTGTCTCCTACAGAAGGCACCTCCTATCCCACCGTCATTGTTATAGGCACTCTCCTTTCCCTGCTGTGGCCCAACATGTGACTGTTAAGCTGGAAAGGGTAGGCACTGGCTTCCTGTGCAATTCCCAGGGGCATTTATGCCACGGCCAAACCCCCTTCCTGTTATGCCCACTCCTGCACCCTCCTCATCCATCCCCAAGAGGTTGTGCCCTTAGCCCCACCTACCCCCATGTCTACTCTAACCCACCTAAGTAATTCCCACCTTACCATCAACCACTCCTGCAACTGCTAATCTATGGAGCCTCCCTCCCTCCACTCCAGCCTGTCCTCCATCATGCTGGAAGCCATCTCAAACCATCTTGTGACTTTCCACTGCTTTAGAAGCAGTTATAAACTTGGTGTTCTGGGACTAAGGAAGATCACTCTAGAGACACATAAGGACAAAGGACACCCTGCTGGCGATTTCAGACAGCCAAACCCACCAAATCTAAATGGGAACCAGAGACAAAAGATACCAGCTCACCTCGGTATCCAACACTCCAGATCAAAGCCACCCAATGCACATGCTGTGCTCCAGGTGCTGGGGTCCTCTTTGCACACACAGCTTCTTCAAGACCCTGAGCTCTGCGGAGTCCTAGTCTGCCTGCCTGCCTTACAAACTTCCTACCAATCACTCGCAATACATTGTTAGGGTGCAACACACACCCAAAGAGGGTCTGGTTGGGCTCAGGGACTGTGGCTCAGGATCCATCAGCTTTCAATGTCCACTTACTCATTTCAACAGGTTATCCAGAAGTTGGGGATCCACCCCGGATGTGACTGATGTGGGTCCTGCCCTCAGAGCCTCTACCGGATCTGTTGATATCTCTTAATTGCAGCCCAGCAGAGCCGGGCTTGGGGCTCCCACCTGTAACCCCAGCACCTGGGAGGCTGAGGCAGGAGGATTACTGCAAGTTGGAAGCTACAGTATGAGACCTTGTCTCAAAACAATCAAAAGCTGGCTGTGCTTCCTAACTCCACCTTAAATGTCCAATACCAACTACATGAACATCATGAAACTAGTCACAAAAACTAAAGCCCAGAGGAACAGTTCTTTTTTGATCTATGTCACTGAGATGCACAGAAACTTCACTAGACTCTTGAGCCCGAGAAGGCCAGACAGTCCCCGCCCCGCTCTACTTCCCGCAGACAGCCAGCTTCTTTTCTCTCCAAAGACAATCCAGGGATCCCTGATGGGAGCCCAGGAAGTGGACCTTTAACCTCCTCTAGGACACAGGGACACCGCAGAAGGAACCGCGGAGGACCAGTTGCCCAGTACAGAGGTTTGAAACATTATGCCACCCCGAGGAAAGAGGACCCCGAGCAAGGGCATCGCGGCGAAAGGTGGCCGAGGCCGGCGGGACTCACGCTGCTGCTGCTCAAGGGCTAGCTTGCACTTGTAGTAACTGTAGAACTCGCCTCCGAACAAAAACGAGAATTTCGGGTTGTCCTTCTGCTTCTCCATCGTCATCTTCTCGAACTCGGGCCCGTTGCGAGCCACGAACTGAGCGAGCTTGTCGATGACATTTCGAAGCTCTTGGTCTGCAGGACAGAGGAAAAACCGTTAGCGGGGACCACCGGGACCAGGGACGGCGCAGTCCCAGCCCCCGAGCCCGGGCCGGGGTCCAGGGGCGGGCCGCGGCCAGACGGCGGCTGTACGGGTCCCGACTGGGGCCATGCGCGCGCTCTGGGAACACGGGACCCGCGGGAGAGGCCGCAGGCGGAGCGGAGGTCGCGGCGCGCCCCCACCAGGACTCGGACAGGCGCAGCCGGCCGCCGGGGTCATGCGGGAAGCGTCCAGCGGCCTGTGTTCCGGGATGGGTCTCACCGTCCGGCGGCAGCGGCATCTCCATGGCTGCGACCGCGGGGAACGTCCTCCGGCGCCTCACGATCGGCCACCAGCGCCGACCGCGGAAGCCGGCCGGAAGTGGCGCGAAGGGAACTGTTTACGACGGCCTTACGGGCCGCTGCGTTGCGCCATTTACGGCCGTCGCTGGGAAACCCCGGAAGCGAGAGCGGGAAGCGGTGGTGGCTGGCGTTGCGCGCGCGAGAGGTAGATGAGGCGCATGCGCGTTTTTTCGTGTATTTGCGGGCGGGGCCCCTGTTCTGAACTTCAGAGATTCTTGTGGGTCCACTCCGGCTTTCTTTCCCCTCCGGTTCGCGCTACTAGGCGTTCCTTGGTTGTCAGTCTTGTGCACCGTTCCCTCGCGCACCATTCGGGAAGCAGAGCTGGCTTAGCGGAGCTCGAAACTGGGTTTATTTAGAACTACTCGATTCCCGGCCCGGGTCCTTGTGTTCAGATCTGCGTTTTTCTGGTGAGGCCTTCGGGACTGGGGGCGTCCTTTTCCCCCTACATCGGCCTTTAACCAAGGAGGTGCAACGACGTGGCTTCGAAAGCGACCGTAACACATTTGGTTTCTTGTGGGGAAGAAACAGAAGCAGTCAGCGACAGCAGCGTGAACCTCGGATACCCCCTTTTTTTACCCATTTTATTTATTTACGTGTTTTCGAGATTGGGTCTTCCGTGGCCCAGTCTAGCCTCGAACTCCCCACACAGTTAAGATGACCTTGCAAGCCCGGTCCTCTTGCCTTCATTTGAGTGCTGAGATGACAGGCATGGACCACCACCATGCCTTGGTTATATGATACTGGGGATGGAACCTAGAGCTGGGTGCATGCTAGTGCACGGCTGTGCCATCAGCCCCGCCCCCTTTTTGAGATTTATTTTGTTTTGAATTTGTGGCACATGAGTTCCATGCCCACAAAGGATAGAAGGCCTCAGATCTCCTGATGTGGGTGCTGGGAACAGAACTCTGATCCTCTAGAAGAGCAGCAACTACTGAGTTTTTTCTCCACCTCTCTCATTGTTTTTAACCTCGCTTTTTTTTTTTTTTTTTTTTTTTGGTTGGTCTTTTTGAGACAGGGTCTCCCTGTAGCCCCAGCTGTCCTGGAACTATGTAGACCAGGCTGGCCTCGAACTCACAGAGATCCGCCTGTCTCAGCCTCGCGAGTGCTGGGATTAAAGGCACCACCACGCCCGGCCTTTAATTCCGTTCTTATGTGTATTTTGCAATATATGCCCTTGCCCAATCGTACTTTAACTCGTGGCAATCCTCCTGCCTCAGCCTTCTTAAAAGTGCTGGGATGACAGGCATGTGCCACTGTGCCCTGCTTGCATGTCCCTTTTGATGTAACCCTTTTGAGATCGCTGTTGTTAACTCCTGGCTGGCTATGCTGTTGGGGTTGGCATTTGAGGGAATCCAGAATTTAGGGACAGAGTTTCAAGCGTGAGCCCTTCATTAAATAGCAGAAATTCCTGGGCAGCTGTTCAGTGGTCATAAAGGTAAACCAATGGTTGTAACAAACGGTTGTTCCTGCTCAGCCAGGGCCCATGCCCCACTCTTGGGTACATGTGTACGGTTACCCCACTGGTACAAGCGACTGCAGTGGGACCTTCCCCATGTGGCACTAAACCTGTATGAACAGGATCAGCCTTAATAAGCATGTGCCTTTTTACAGGTGTGCAGCAAGATTTCCCACACTATCATGCATGCTTGGACTCAAGAAACAGCTTGGTTCCCTCCTTCCCCAGAAAGATCACCTTGCCTTGCTTTGACGCCACCCTCATTAGTAACAGCTGCAGCTAACTCTCCCTGTCTGCCCACCTTGCCCCCATAATTGTACTGTGGCTGTACTTTGCTTTCTTTTTTTTTAAATAAGATGTGTGTAGAGCTGGAGAGATGGCTCAGCGGTTAAGAGCACTGGTTGTTCTTGCACAAGACCTGGATTCAAATCCCAGCACCCACATGGCAGCTAACAACTCTGTAACTCCAGTTCCAGGGGATCCAACGGCCTCTTCTGTCCTCCGAGGGCATTGAACAACATGGGTGCACTTACCTACATGCAGGCAGTGCACTCATACACATAAAAAATATTTTTTTTTAAAAAAGATGTGTATTTGTGTGTTTGTGGGGGGGTACCCATGGAGGCCAAAAGAGGGCATTAGATTCCCCAGAGTTGCATGTAGTTGTGCATGGGTTGACATCTGCAAGAGGGGTGCAGGCTCTTAAGAGCTGAGCCACCTCTCCCTCCAGCCTCTGTACTTTGGTTTCATTGTGTGTGGCTTAGTCTTGCCACCGGCCACTCTGCTCCTTTGTCTGAGGAAATATCCTAAACTTCTCTCCCATACCCATGGACTGAGATCTTCTTCCAGTTTCCTGGTAACTGCTGGAGGTTCCTGCAGTCACTGGAGTTTCTCAAGGTGTGTTAGCCTTGCCCTATGGGACTCCAGGCTCTCCTTTCTGGTCAATGTTCCACATACCAACTTCAACTGGTACTTAATCTGTGTTTAACCACCTGGTGGGGACCGAGGTTAGCAGCATACCCTGGCCACTGGCTCTGCCACTGGTCTTGCTGTGTTTCTGCTGGCTCCCAAGCCTTTAACCATGAGCCTCTGCATCTGCCAGCCCAGGACCCTGGGGTCTGGGATGTCCCAGTATTCCTTTGCCTCATTACCAGGAGTAAAAGGCCTAGAGGAATTCGAAATAAATAGCTTTCTCGGGGCTAGGGAGGGAGCCCTCAGCTAGACCCTCCCAGGCCAGGAGCTCTGCCAACGCCAGCATGCTGCCTGCCCTGTCACCACAGTGGGCACAGGAGTGTTAGGGGCTTTTGATGTCAAATGTAGGGGGCCTTAGACCACCAAGTATACTGGTTACCTCCCAACAGAGAACACCTTAGAGGATCAGTGTCTACAGAGCTGAGGTATACCAGGAGAGACACCTCCCCCAGAAATGACACTGCATTGTGGGAAGATGCCCTCCTTGCCAACAGTGGGAAGTGACCCTGGTCCTGTGTTTTCTCATTCACGGTCCCTGCTTGTTCTTCACTTTCTTAGAATGTGGGTCAGCTCCCCATTCCCTGGGAGTCATCGTTGGGAGGGTCTTAACATCTGACCCTGAAGAAAAAAATACCTCATCTCTCTCTAATGCTCCATGGATGCATTTGGGAGAGAGAATGTCATAGCCTACTTATGGCACTGTGAATACAAACTCCAGCTCACAGATTTTTTTAATTTTTTTTTTTGAGACACGGCTTCCTTGTAGCTCCAGCTGGACTGTAGACCAGACTGACCTCAATTTGAAATCCACCCGCCTCTGCCTCCTGAATGTTTGGATCAAAGGTGTGTTGCAATTTTTAAAATTTTGGGTTTTTTTTTTTGTTTTTTTTTGTTTTTTTGGTCTTTTTGTAGCCCCAGCTGTCCTGAAACTCCCCCCATGTAGACCAGGCTGGCCTTGATGAACTCACAGAGATCCGCCTGCCTCTGCCTCCTGAGTGCTGGGATTAAAGGCATGTGCCACTACACCCAGCAAAAATTTGTATTTTTAAAAAAATATTTTTATGTGTATGAGTGTATTGCCTGCATGTATGTGAGTGCACCCATGTAGTGCAATGCCGCGGAGGTCAGAAGAGGGCGTCGGATTCTCCTGGAACTGGAGTTAAGGATGGTTCGTAGCAGCCATGTGGATGCTGGGAATTGAACCTGGGTCCTCTGCAAGAGCAGTCAGTGCTCTTAACCGCTAAGCCATCTCTCCAGCCCCATAAAATTTGTATTTTTTATTGTGTGTGCGTGAAGGTCAGAGAACAACTTGGAGAAGTCGTTTCTCCATCCATAGGTGAGTCCAGGTAGAACTCAGCTTACCAGGCAAGCACCTTTACCCACTGAGCCATCTTTCTGGCCCAACAGATTTCTTTGGTAGGTGCCTTCGGTCCAGAATGGAATGAATGTAAAAGAAGAACCCGAAGGAGAGACCTGTAGGTCCAGCTCCTGGGGAATGCAACAGCTCTGGCTTCAGAGGGAGCCTTTAGTCACATGTTCATACCCTCCACACAGAGGGCTGGAGAGATGGCTTGGTAGTTAAGCACACTTGTTGCTCTTGTAGAGGACCCGGGTTTGCTTCCCAGCACCCACATCAAGCAGCTCACAATTGTAACTCCAGGTCCGGATCCTCTGGTCTCCTTGGGTACTGCACAATTTGCATATACACATATGCAGGCAAACACCTGTACACATAAAACTTAAAAATAAATATTTAAAAATAAAATAATAAAAAAAATTTAAAAAGAGAGAAAGCCCAGTGGCTGAGATGTGGTTGGCTGGGTGCTTTCCTAGAATGTGCAAGGACCTGGGTTTAATCTATAGCAGCTCATACAAGCAGGGCTGAGCTTGGCATGGTAGCACACACCTTTAGTCCCAGTAGGGAAGCAGAGCCAGAAGGATCTCTGTGAGAAGGCCAACCTGGTCTCCATAGCAGTTCCAGATTTGGCTTCCTCTTCTGGCTGCCACAGGCATTTGTATGACATGGGTATATTTATATGCCTGCAAGCATAACACACATAACATTTTTTAAAAACCTACTTTTTAATTAAAAAGGGCTGGTGGCACACACCCAGCATGTCAGCACTTGGGAGGTGGAGGCACTAAGAATGCAAGATCATCCCCAGCTACACAGCAAATTAGAAATGGTTTGGTGGATAAAGCGCTTGTCACAGGAGCGTGAGTTCAGATTTTGTATAAGAAAGCTGGATGTGGGGATGTTTGCATGTAATCCTTTATCTCCCCGCGAGATGGGAGGCAGAGACAGGAGGATCCAAGAAGGTCAAAGGCCTGGCTACTCAGTGTCAAATAAGAGACCTTGACTCAGGTGGGAGGTGAGGGCCAACACCTGAGGTTGTCCTCTGGCCTGCACACAGGATTAAAAAAGAAGACCAGAATGGGGCTGAAGAGAGGATTCAGTGGTTAAGAGCACTGATTGCTCTTACAGAGGACTTGGGTCCAGTGCCCAGCACCCACATGGAGGCTAACAACCATCTGTAACTCCAATTCCAGGGTAATCCAATGTCCTCTTCTGACCTCTGCAGGCATTGCACAACATGGATGCACTTACATACATGCAGGCAGTACATTCATACACACAAAATTTAAAAAAAAAAAAAAAAACCA